AGCCTTGAAAGCGCGAAGATATCGCCAGAGCAAGCGAGTACGCTGCTGTCGTTGGGTCGTGCTTGTTCATTCTGATTGTCAGCTGGGTGTGAGGAAGCGATTCACGATTTTGCTTATCCGCTTGACGCTTGCGGAGCGCTAAAGTCCGAGTCATGGGTGTGATTGCTGGCTGCAGAGTCTCACGAGTGTGGGATGCGTGAACGGTGCAAGGAGAGTCTCCCCCCTTGGTCGCTGTCTTAAGCTAGCCAAAGTCGAGACTCTTCTTGAGGACGCACGGGGCCACAGAAGAATGTGTTCGAGTCCCTCCTCCAAACGCTCCGATTGAAAGTTTCCCCATCCCCTTCCTACCTCTTTCGCCCTTCTCCGCATTCGGCATCAGCGCCGCTTGCCCGTCGATAGCGTGGAGCGCGTAGGCAGGCAGCTCATGCAGCTTGTGAGCCGCAGGCGCGTGCAGCGCTTGGGTAACCGTCAAGCGTGGCAAGCACTCGCATGAGCTATCTCATCCCCTTGAATTCGGCAGCTCGTCAGCCGGCCGGCCTTTCGCACAGCACTGCACTGTACTCACGACACTACTCCCACAAAGCCATGCACCACGCTCTCCGTACGCTAAGACCCCTCGACCAGCTCGAGCAACGTCTCACCATACCTTGATTGATGCATTGTACTGACTGTACTTCAAAAGCCTACTGTAGATGCCACCCGATGTGAGGAAAAGTGGCGCACTCCCTTCGTCTGGCGCTGATTCGGGCCGGCAGCTGGCTGGTATGCCGGCCGCACGCAGCCATGCTGTGCTCGAGCGGGTCGCCAGATGCTGTGCACGCTCCTGCCGAAGCAGCCTCATGAGCGTCTTGCGAGCTTGTGAGCGCTAAACGAACGTTGTGAGGGCGTGTGCATAGTCGCAATTAAAGATCGTGGAGGCTTTGCGTGAGCTGTGATCGGATGCCACAACAAACATTCTCACTGACCTAACGGTCAGCGATGAGAGCTTGATTTGGGCATTCAATCGGTAAGGGGTAGTTAGTGGGTCAGAGCGGCAGAGTGGCGATGCAGCGTCCCTGATACACTCAGACGGTAGAGCTGGTGATGATCTACCTACGTCGTTGGACAGGCAAGCTTGGACAGTCAAGTCAGCACTTGCCCTTTACACCAGCAGATGGCACGTCACCTGCCCTTCCCCACCTCAGGTACCTGCTTCTTCTGGCATAGCGTCTTTGCACCAGGTGCGCTTTCACTCAGCAATGCATCTCAAGCTCTCCACCTCGAACTTCCGAAGCAAATGCGAGGGAGTCGCACTGCTCGCTCTGTCTATATGTTTCAGCTCAATCCGTCTTGCTCATCACCTCCAACCATCAGCCTCACGCGGGCATCCTAGGTCCCTTCATCATCCCTTCGTCTACCACCTCTTTCCGCGATCACCTCCTTCTCCTCTCGCCACTCAGCGCAATTCATTTGACCTCTTCCTCACCAACGCACCCATGCTCTTCATACCTTTGACTTCAGCATCCATCCCTTACTTGCACATCGCCGTCATCGTCAAGCTCGTGAACAAAGTCTCCGTTTAATCTTTACCTTTCAGGCATCCCCTTGAAGCACATCCCGGGCTCATCTACTCCGACCAACCATCTGCACCCACGTGCCCGCGGACGGCCGCTCGATACCGGTAGTCTGCGCTCGGATCAGCAAACTCAGCCCGCTCGATCTTCGCTGACCGCGGTACACGGCTACGCACTCACCATTCGCTTTCACCTCGCGCACATCCTGCAACCCTGCTGGTTATCGCAGAGCGTCAGTCGAAGCGATCGCATCCGTGGACAAAGTGGATCGCGAGGAACTTGAAGCCACTCGAGCTCAACGGTATCATTGATTGTCAATCACGTTGCTCGGCGGTGTCGCATTGATCGCGCGGAGTTGGCGTCGCTGGACTTCGTGACCAAGCAAGCCCCTTTGTCGCAGTCCTCTTTTCAGGCTCGAGCACTCCCACAACACCTGTCTCAAGCGTCTCAGCCCGCACAACATCACGGTAGCTTGCCTTCCCGAGCGTGCAGGGCTTTGCCATCGTTCGTAAACAAGACGGTAGCATAGGAGCTGACACGCCTGCAATATTGAGACGACCTGTTCTCGACGGTCCACTGGCAGCAGGTCTCATCAATCGAGCCCCCTTAGCCATACCTCAGTGCAGCGTACAGACGGACGTAGACTTGGAACTGGACGAGCCATTTGCAGGTGCGGCTCCGCGCAACCATCGCTCGTTTCACCAGGGATACGAGACAACACCGCCGATCCGCGTTTAGTCAGGAACCGAAGCGGTGCCAACCTTGCGACTCAGCTGAATCCCGTTTCATTTATGGAGCGTTCGGGACCGTCGACGCCCGCCCGCTGCGCCCTCCTCGCTTTTGTTTCGCACCGTGCTCGCGCGCCAACCCATTCACCGCGGAAGGTGTAGAGTGCTTAAACGCACATCGTGTAAGCAGCTACATAGGGCGAAGCAGGGATATCATATCATACCTCGAGTGAGTGTGTACTGCGCCTTTGTCGTAGAGCCTTTTGTGGCCCTCTCTGACATTCCCAGGCCCATGCACTCATCCTTATGATGGCCTCTTCCAGCACGCAGTCCTTGCCACCATCCTTGCGATCCTCCTCTCAAAATACTTTTCCTTCGCAGCAAGAGCGCCCCAGCATTCTCACTCTAAAAGCTCTCCCCTCCCTCCAGCACTTTCGAGCTCCGCAGCCTTTTTAGTGGCAAAGTAGCGCTGCTGCATAGCTCCCTACCACTTTCTTCGGCATGAAGCCAGAGGTGGAGGCGGCCGCAGGCCACCTTTGCGGATTGCTGGCAGGCGACGCTCCTCAAGCACGAGACATGCTTCATGCCTGCCTATGCCAGAGCCTGACAAACAGGGTGGCAACCTCTACATGGGATGTCTCTGCTCCAGAGAAAGGTTCGGCAGCCCGCGCGCTGGTTTGTCACGATCACGATGGAGGAGAGGGCATCGATGCTTGTCTACTCCAAGCATGCAAGGACGCCAACATCAGCGCTGAAAAGCTGCAGCCCTTCACACTTTGGATTGATCCCGGCTGCGTGGCCGTTCGAATGGGCCTCGGTCCAGGCACCGCGCTTGCCGTCAACGCTCCAAATGCCCAGCTTTTGAACAGCTCAGGATCCTACGGCACCACCGTGACAGTCATCTGGGGCTCGCTGCCAGTCGCCGTATCGAATCGCGCCTCGCCTGGCCCAGCATTGAATGGGATAGCTGTACCGTCGGTCAGCATTCTGCCTTCGACTCCCCAGGCGATCCAATCAGGAGGGGTGTCGACGAACAAGGCCGGCCTCAAAGGTCTCGGGCGTCCGATTCGCATCGTCGATCCCAATGCCAGTCTGCATGACCCAGCACTCGCTCACGGTCGCACCTCAAGCACGTCCTCCAACAACTCCATCTCATCTTTTGATGGAAGCGAAAGTCTTGCCGGCGCTGCTTTCACAGCTCGCTCGTTCAGTCAGGCAAGTTCTGCTGGTAGCAGCTCCGCCACGTCTGTTGAGACTGGCATGGATCGTCTTCATAGCAAGGACGCGAGCTATCATGATGGCAGTCTGTTCGAGCGAGACAGCGAGGCGACTTTCCACAGCCGTGCCAAGGAGTGCGGCGTCAACGGTCTAATCGATGCTGGCCTCGACGACGAGACGATCACAGCCATGCAAGATGTCGACGAAACGTTAAAAGGTGTACCTCGCAGCGACAGCACCGATAGCATGGACTTCAAGTTCCCCAAAGGAGACTGCTCGACATCAGTCAGGCGACAGGTCGCGAAAAAGACGAGCGGAAGCGTCACGAGCTCCACGCCGAGTGAGAGCCCGTCGAGCGGCGGTCACAAGAAGCAGAGTCCGAGCGGATCATCCCTCAATTACACCACGCATGATAATGGCAATGTCGGTGTGCTTGGGGGTGGTGTGCGCCTTGGAGGCTCTTCCAAGCCATCTTCTCCTGTCAAGAATACGAGTGCGCCAACTCGTGCTACCGTGGCTCAGCTGCTCCAGAAGCACCCTTCCTTGCAGCAACAGGAATGGGCACCACGCAGCGCGCCGACCCGCACGGTCGGTCTACCTCCGTCTCGCGCTGCCGGCGTGCCATTGCCAACCCCGAATGCAGTCTATCAGCACCACTCGCACTCCCAGTCCCTGTCGTACTTGCACCAATATCAGTATCCCCAGGCTCCGTACCACGCACCTGGGCAGAGCAACCAACATGCGTTGCGCCAGGACGCACCTTCTTTTCATCCTCAAGCAAGTCATCATTACCAGATCAATCATCCACCATACCCCTCTCAACAATTGCAACAGCCACCGCCGCAGTCATACGACACGCCTCAGCATGGTAACCTGCAGCAGTTGCCAGAAGTGCAACAGCGCGGTTACGCAGGTCATCAGCAGTACTATTCTGGTGTAGAGGGCCTTTCGGCTCCTCCGCCATTCGGCGCTCCTTCCCACAATGCTTTCCCCTCCCACCCACCTTTCGCTTCCCCTCATCACGGCCTTCACCATCTGGGCATGTACGGTGGCATGGTCAACACTCCCAGCACGACCTGCGGCTCCATCACCAGCAGCGCACCATCTTCTTCGCACTTTGGCTTCCTCTCGCTCGATCCAAACGGAATGCCATTCCCCCATATGAAGAGGGTGCGTTCTCGTGGACGGCGAAGCAGGGGTCGCGGAGCGGGTCGTGCTGCACGTCGTCAAGCGGCAGCTATGAAGGCCTTCAACGACCTGGCCGAGCAAGACGGCGCGCACGGACTTGTGCCTTTGTACTGCTCGACGGAAACGTTGGACATGAGCAGCGACGAGGGTGAGGATAATGAGGACTTTGAAGACGAAGATGAAGCGCAGGAATGCGTCCTTGGTCTTCGATTCGACGAATTGTCCCTCGCTCCTCGGCGCGCAGATGATGCCGAGGATGTCATGGCCGTCGTCCGTGCTCGCGCAGCGGCCGTCGACTCGAACATTCAACGAAAGACGAAGCCGCAAGGGACGACTGGTCCAAGCGATGCAGAAGTCATGTCGATCGTGCGCGAGCGTGCTCAGGCCGTCGCGCACGGTATTGCAAGTCGAAGCAGAGAAGCCTCGCTGAATTGCAAGCACGATGCTGCACCTTGGGACACCCACCTGCGCACTTTGACCGCTACTCCTCGTCCCTAGATCAAAGACTGCCCTTTCAAAATCCTCCTAACACTTGCCCACACGTCATTTCTCTTTTTCTGTTTCTCTTGCTTCCTCTGCCCATCACTCACATTTGCGCATCGGCTATTTCTGCATTCCAGTCTATATAGTCTCTTTACACTGGCCATACATGCCTCGATCTGCCACCTGTCTACAAAGCTTCTCGGCTCAAGTGATACACAATACATTTTCACACCGCTCTCAGATGCGCAACGTCCTGTTTTCGACTCTTCGAACTCGAATGCGTGATCGAGTCGAGGTTCTGTTACACTTATACAAAGAGGCCGCGATGATCGAGTGATCGCGGCACCATCAAGGGGCTTCTCATGTGTGGAGCCATGAAATTTCGCGAGACGCACAGTCATCACACAATGATGTGTATGAGAAGAATGCACCATTATTGTATTTCAAGACGTGTCCATACGTGTCGAGTCACGCATCCCAACCAGTGTAAATTACAGC